AGTAGGTTGTTCGATGTAGTATGTATAGAATAGGAGATAAACATAATAAAGAACTGAAAAATATATCAACACACGAAAAAAAAATAATATATATAATTTAAACACAGGTATAAGACACTGATCAACAGTACTATAGGTACTACCAAGTAGGTAGATTAATACAATTATATATATTATAAAATACTAGAATAGAGATTGCGGTGGTTGTAGCATTCGACTAGTCAAGAGTCTTAGGTAGTAAGCCGTTGGTATTTTGGTTAAAAATGTAGGACTGCCAAGTTTAATTTGTGTTTAATTTAATAGAAAAATGTATGATTACTATGTGTTTCTAATAATCCCAATTTATTGAAAATAAATTACAAAAGCGTGGTAAACAGGTTCGTTAAATACGTCTATATTAGTGATAGGTCGAACTGTTCGAATCTTGAACGACTCGGACCGAACCCCTAATGTTTGGTTCAGTTCAAAATTCGAACCGAACTATCAAGCATCTTTTACTGTTCGAACATCGAACTATTCGAACTTGAAAATATTTGTCGAACCAGACTTTTTGGCCACGATACTTTGATAGTTTAAACTCATTCAAAGACCAAATATTTGTATAATTCTTTAAAAGTTATTTTTACACGTTATAATATATTATAATTTATAATAATATGTTATTTTTCCACTGGCCCGTTATAGATCCACCCCCTCCCACCAGCCAAAACATTGATATGCTTTCTATCGCCAATAGAGACCGCATTCCTACATTTATAATATTGCTGTTTTTGTTTTTATCGTAGCGGAAAAAAATTTATTTTGGGTACACCCATGGTAATATTCCGTACTGCTATGTCTCTATTTATAACATATTTTCCGGGTATATAATTGTTATCGAAATCGTTTCAATTGGATGTTTATCGTTGTAACAACATGTCTACTGTCTAGTTTGTGATTTTATAATTTGTTTGTAATATACTTTAAAAATAAATAATAAATATAACTATTTTTATTTTAAGTTATATTTTTTTTCTTATTAATAATTAATAATTAAATTATTATTTTTTATTTGACGGGTACCTACTTATAATAATTCATAGTAATACTTATTATGTCTACAGTCTACTGATATAGATTGTATATTTCAATTTAAAATTAAAAAAAAAAGAAACATTGAATGCCGATAAGTATAAAATGTTCAATGTTTAATAAATGAACTAAATAAATAACGATTTTCCATAGTCTAAAATAAAACCATGAGGCATAAACATATTATTTTAATTTAAACTCGATGTATTTTATCATCAATATATACTTATTCTCAATGTATAATATACTCACACAGCCATAGTTGTATGTTGTATGTAATATGAACAGGAAAAACTAATGTATAAAAATCTCATCAAAAACATAATAATCCAATATATTTTATTACGTTAGAAATATTTTTACAATTACAAATTACAATGCAGTATCTACATAATATTATGGTGTTAATATATTTAATACTTACCACTAATTATGCAATGAAAATAACATCTTGTGGTCTACCAATAATTTTGTATATATAAGTTAAAAACATATATAAATTAATATTATAAATTGCTTGCTAGATTATAGTACATTGAGAAAATAAATTTTTTTTAACCGTTACAATGAATCATAGACCTTATATTATATAACTATAATAGAAAATAATTGGTAAGACACTGTTCATAAAATTGATAGTTTATTGGTATTCTATGCAATTTACATTAAACTTAACTATTTAATGTATCTTTAATTTTAATGTATGTGTGCTATTTTGATAAAACTAATAATAGCCAATCAGAATATCTTTATGAAAGGCATATCTTAATTGTTTTGTTAATAAATTACTAAGCATATTACAATAATGCTATACAAATAATTAAAATAACAACATATTATTAATTATGTTATGATAATGATCAACACTTAGAATATATGAGAATTAACATCACCTTACTTTTTTTAAGTATATTTTATTAGATATATAATAATATAATATATTTACTGATACTGTTTTAGTCTATGTGAGTATTAACAATATAATAAATGCAATGTTTTCGGTAAACATTTAATTTTATGTTTGAGCATTTAAATTTAAATTACTTTCCATAATACTAATAGTAAAATAAATTATTTTCATGCAGTTATCATAAAATATACTTACTATACTTAATACTTATTACTAAACAATATATGCTAACAGACAAGTTTTTATTCAGAATTGTTTTCCGTACCTATATAATGATTGATCATTGAATACAAATTTAACACATAATATACATACAGTTACTTATTTAAAGACGAGGGTATGCATACAGCAGTATCTACTTTTTCATTTTTTTTTTTATGCATAGATATCAAATATGATCACCACCTTAAGTCGTAGAAGCATTTCTCTATGTATAATAATATATTATAACATGTCAGGGCACTGGATAATCTTTGTATTACTTACTAAACAGTTATTGCTTTATATTTTGGTAAAATACTTCGGTATGTGTTTTTTTCTAACATTTTTTTTCTATTCTAAGACATGGCGCTAATCATAATATAATATGTACCTTGACTTCATGAATTCCTGCGCCCTATTACGATGTAATATTTTAATGTTTTATTGTCTTTAACTATTTCAATTAATTTTAGTTTAATCCATGTAATAAAATTATTTTATCTTCAAACGTAAAAATTAGAATTTTTTATTTTCAGTGGTACTGAAGACCAGATACGTATCGGTGATTTAGGTCTAAATCAAAAAAATATTTATTTACATTTTTATTGAATAAAATTATGGGATATCACACCAAGTATTTGTTCGTCGTAATAAAATGAGTATAAAAATACGAAAAAATACAAAAATTATATTGGCTCTTCTAATAGTAAAATTTTCTAGGAAACGGTATTACAATAACATATTATGTATTTTGCTTTGATAATGAGTAAGTATCTATCTAACAATAACAATAATTTGTATAATAAAATAATAATATGAAAAAAAACCAAAGAATTATATTATTATGATTAACCATTATAATATTATATAACTGAATACAAAATGTTATAAACAAGCTAAAAGCGCTCTTTTGAACTTCTGTTTATGTTTAAACTTTTAAATAAACCGGAAGGAAGTTAATTCTCAGAACTGTACGGTGGTCAAAACTCAAAAACATTGTCAATTGTCATTGTATCACTTTTTATTCAAACAAACACTTTTCAGAACAATTATATTATCTTTTGTTAGTCCAAAAAAACATTATTGTTTTATTTATATAATTACATTTGAATTCTATTAAATAATATGAAATATACATCGTATAATATATATATTATAGAAATATGTAAATATTACAGTTTCAATAAGAAAACCATTTATGAATGTTTATTTAACAATATTGTGTCGTCAGTTTTCAGGAATTATTTTTTGATTTTGTTTATAAAATAATATAATATTATAGGTTTAACTTTTATTGATTTAAATTTATAAATACGTTTTTTTTTTTAGTTTTATTTTATAGTTCTATAAAAAAAATATATTTTTATGATTTTTCATACATTGATAGTAAAAGCCAATGATAATATTAGTACTTTACCTGGTTTTTAAAACGTATTGATTATAAAACATTAATCTATTTTAATACACCGGGAGTAGGCTGGTAAGGCACGTATATATAGTCAAATAATTATATTAATTATTATAACCAAATGTAGTTTTGATACCTTCCTAAAACTTGGTCCTTGGTTAATTCCTTTTAATATATAAATAATAAATATTAAAAAAAACAATAATTTATGGACATTTTTAACTGTTAATATTACAAAAGTTTTAAAATAATATTTAATAAAAATAAAAAGAGAATGTTAACAATTTTTGAAAATATTGAATTCGATTCCCTCGTTCCTTGAAATTTGTTAAAACCACTATTGATTATATATTTAAAAATTATCACGATAACATGAAATAAAAATAAAAATTTATAAATTGAGTAATGCGCTGAACGGACTACCCATGTTCTATGACTAGAATAATGCTATAGGTGATTTTTGATAAGCAGTTGTGCAACTTTCGCAACTCACACTTTTATAGAAATATGTTTTGTTCGTTCGTAAATTTAAATAATCGGAATTCAAGTCTACTGCTTTTTACAATATCATATATACAATATACCTACATATATACCAGCAGTCTGTCTATACAGTACATAATATATATATATATATCATATACCAGATACATATAGTAATCCAAATTAGTTTTTCATTACTTTTTTATAGTGACAATGTGAACGGAGCGAGTGGTTTTGGTCTGTAGGGATATTTATTAAAATTAATGGGTGGGTAGTATGTAAGAATATTTGTTCCTTAAGTAAAAGTAGTTCAACACGCTACTGTATGGTATGAGGCTTTGAAGAGTAAACGAGTTTGCTTGGGAATATAACACATTGCACCTGCAGCAAAATGAAAAAGAAAAAAAAAATTGGCTGCTTTTTCCTCAAAACCATTTGTACAATATACGTTTTACGAGTTAACGAACTAACTCTAACTCCGACAGATGTTGAATGTTTCTCATAAATTTACTGTGAACTTTACTAAAAATAATATATGCTCAAAAGAAATGCTAAAATTCGAAATCAATTGACAAATTATATTATATATTAAATAATATAATATATTCACTAATCCCAATCCCACTTGAGTTTCGAAACTATAGGTATGAAATATTATTATCGATAACCTATTTTATACTTATTATACTTGGATAATTATTTAGTGAGCTGTATACATATGATAAGATAATAGATTAAAATATAACATAATATTTTTATCATAAAAATAGGTATAACAATATTATATCCTTTTTATAATCACTTTACTCGACAGTCATCATAAACATAAATTATTTTATTATTTTTATAATTAATAATTAAGATACGTTTTGGATGAATAATATAAACAAAAAATAATTTTCATAGGTTTGTAAAGTATGCACTTACCCCAGTCTGAACGTGGTGCAGAGATTGAAATCGCAAATCTTCCGTGTATGTAGATAGTCCGACGGTGAGTAGTCGATAGTCTCGTCTACGAATCCAGGAAACCTGTAATGTGATTTATATGACTATGATTAATGTCTTAAATTTAAAAAAATAATATGACATGTGACATGATTTTATATTAAAGCATGATTTTTTAGATGCTTAAAGTAAACTAGGTATAACTTCTTAGTACCCATATTATTATTTATTACATATAATTAAAAAATACAATTATAAATAATAATCTTATATTATAATCATATCCATTTTTATAAATTACTGAATTAGTAGTTTTCTTTGATAAATGAGTGCGCAGACTTTAATACAGTAGGTGTACATATTGTATTATGCGGCTGATAAGTATATTTTCCAATAATTTAAATGCCCTTAAATAAGTGGTTATACAAATGTCGAAAAAATACTTATTATAATTAAAAAATTATAATATAATAAGTTAATAGGTTATAGGTTAATATAGAGGTACTTTTTTTATGTTAAAAATAAAAAAAATATTTTTATAAAGATGTGTTTATTGAAAGAGATATAATTTGACGATTCTCGTCATATATAATTAAGCCCTGAAATTCGATTTAAATATTTTGTTTTTTATTTTTAAAAATAATTATTTTGGGATTTTATTTTAAATCCTTTAACAATTATCTGCAACTAGCCCGCATATTCTGCATTTCCTGTACACATGTCTACAAGCTCTTTGAAGTAGACTGATAATTTTATTCTATATTAGATAGGTACAAATAGTTTAACACAGCGCATAATTTAAAACATTTTTAAATCTTTAAATAATTACTAAAATTGTAATATTTAACTTTTAAATCGTTATTTGTTTCTCTTTAATATTTTAAATATAAATTATGAAAAGGAAATAGATTTAAATTTAGTCAATAATACTGAAATTGAATTTTAATGGAAAGAAATTAGTACATATTCACTATTTATATATATATATATATAATGATAACAATAAATTTAATAGAAAAAAATTTATATTGATTATACATCATGGTATAATTGTTATTCATTAGTAATTAATCATTATGGATCATTAAAACGTTCTAATAGAACAAGATACAATTAATTTGAAGCAATATTATTAAAACAATAACTAAAGTAGAATAGCAAATGGATTATATTCACTATAGTAATCTTAATAACATATAGATACAAGCTATTTGAAAAATTAAAAGAATAGTCTTTCAGTTCTGATCTTAAAACTAAGTATATAAAATATATAAACCTGTTAATAAAAGTTATTGCATGTGTTAAATATGCACTTCTCTAAAAATATAAATAAGACAAAAGACGATCTTAAAAAAGTTTGGATGGTAATGTTTAAAATAAAATCTTCATATTGACTTGACGATTAAAAAATTAAGGAGTATGTTCGTTGAGTTTAAAACATTAAACAATATTTTATCATTTAACAACACGAAAATGGTTATCTGTGCAGTTTTACAATCAGTATACGAGTATACATACAGAATAATGTATAGGGCGGTACTTTCAAAAAAAAAAAAAAAATTAAGTTTGCTCAGTACTACTGTTATATCTTAAGTAAAGATAGCTTTTAAAAACCTTTTTATTCAATTACGAATATACTATATAATATGAATAGTAAATTCAATTTGAAGAAATTTCATGAAAAATATATACTAACAGAGTTATATTTTTATTAACTTGAAAGCATCAGTTATAACCATAATTATTCTACTCATGAAAAAAAAAAAAATAATAATATATTTAAAATAAATAAATAAATAACACTGAATTTTATAAAAAAGATCCTTTTAATATAGGAAAAAATGTATGTGTGTAATTTAATATTTCTATTAAGAATTTTTATAATTAGAATCATTACAAAAAGTATTTAAAGTACAAAATAAAAACTTGTTTATAACAAACTTATATCTATGTGTTGTACTGTATTCTAATATTATTCTGTTTTATACATTATTATTATTTTGTTACCTATTTGATTAAATAAGGATATATTAATGCGATTACCTTAAATTTTTATAAACTCACCTTATAAATAAGAACTGTTTTGTCTTCACAACAAGTTTAGACTTTTGGAAACAATTATAAATATATATATAATTTATTTAAATTTTAATTGTATATTTTTTTTTAATGCAATAAATATTATTATTATTATTAAAAAAAAATATTAACTTACATTTTGTTTTAATAATAATACGAACTATTATAAATTATTTCGGGGATTAAACATTTTATATATTAATTATAGTTGTTTCAATTGCAGTGTAATAACAATAAATAGGTAAGGTTTATAATTTAAACATGTTTTATTGCGTTTTATACATTACGATGTTCAAATATTGCATGTTAGTTGGCTATAAATTATGTTCTACGTTTAATTTTCGTACTTTAGGTCCTATTTTGATTGTATCTTGATTGCATCCCAGACTAAGGTTATTGCATACTATATGCAGGGTCGTCACTATAATTTTCTTAGCTCATAAAATTATTAGTACACGAGTACGGTGTAATGTATCAACATGAACACTAAGACGTCGAACCCTACTCGCTCTGTGCTAGAGATAGCACACGCAGTTATACCCTAAAATTATACCAATATACTATTTTGAAAAATAATAATTTGTAAAATTTTTTTAAATTTTTGTACATGAAAACTATTTATTTATTTAAAAAAAAAAAATCTATACATTTTTAGTTCATATCAAACCAGTAAAAATCATTAGTACCACCGAGTTAGCACCAACTAAATCTATTTTTATTTCGTACATATTTTTGTTATTTTAATTAAATTTACTAGTAAAACAGTCAGGATTTCTTGAGTTTTAATGGAAGTTAGTAAAAATTCATAGTTCGAAATTTCGTATAAATAAGAGATAAATTAATTTAAATAAAATAGCGTCTTTTTAGTAGGTAGTATAGTTACACATAACATAATTTAAATGAATTACCTACTCGTACTTTAGCTAAACTAAATAACCCATAAAAGTTAAAACATATGCTACTAAGATAATTGAATATCTGTGATTTTCGTTTTAACATATCAATATGATTCAGTGGTATTAAAAGTTTTTTTTTGTGTTTGAAAAGGTCCATACATTTTTGAATATCATTTTTGATTTTTTTTTGTTTTGCCACATTTTCTAAACTATATCCATGACGTTTTACACAAATTTCAAGATTAGTAGCTCATATTAATAAATATTGAAGAATTAATTATTATTTCAAGATTTTTTAGGTTATAAAAAAAAGAGAACTTTGCATTCTGTCACCAGATAAAAAAATCTATACTATACTTTGTAATTTTACAAAATTCAAAAAAATTGTAAAGTAAATTTAAGTGTACTTATGAAATTATTACGAATGAAACATAATTCAGCATCAAATGAGTGGTTATTTTTTGACCAACAATTAAAATATTAAAAATTATAAAAATTCTTGCTTTATTTATTAAATTATAAGATATCTCCATTGTTATGATCATCATTCAAAAAAAAAATGTTCATTCTTAAATTTATCTTTCAATGTACAATGCACATATGTTATAATTTGCTTCTTTAAAACGCATTTTAATAATATTATACCACAAATGATTATTTTAATTTTATATTCTATGACTATGAGTAATCAATATTACTAACGTTTAATATTGTGTACATATCAGGTGATTCATTTAAGTGCCCGCATTCTACAATAATAATTTCGGAAATTTTGAAGATATTTCTATACATGATTTGATGTTATTTCAAAAAGAAATATTTGAAAAAAAATTGTTATCATTGTTTAGGTTTTTTTTTTTTTTGTACGAGACAACATTTTTAATTTCATGATACTACAAGAAGCATATTGTTTGGACAAGTAGTTTATTAGTTATAACTTATAACTTATAGGTATTTAGCTACTTATTTTGAATTTGAATTTTTTGTATAGATAATTCTGAAAATATTCTGATATGAAATATGAAATTAAAAATGTATGTTATCGTTCAAAAAAGTAAAAGATTTAGAAAAATGATAATTCTTTTTAGAAATGTTATTTTTAAATTACATTAAATGTTGTAAAATAAATATTTTAAATAATGTTAGAATTTTCCAATTAATATAACAGTATACTAAATATTAATTAAATCTACACTAAAGAAAAAACTTTAAGCCGAAAGTGTGATTTGTGTTGACACGTTTTAGACAAAAATACAACAGAGTTTATTTGAAAGATATCTTGAATTTGTAACCACATATTTAATTGAAATAACAACTATCGTTACGTTTAGTAATTCCATTTTATGTTTGTACAACACTCATTAACCTCGTTACAACTATATTTTACTGAGTTAGGTTATTAAACCGTTAATTAAAGCACAACAACTAAATAATAATTTACAATGGCCTAACGTATAAGAACTGCGCACTTTTCCATTTTTTTTTTTTTTTAATAGAGGTATATATTGATTATACAAAACCAATACATCCTAGTATAATAATAAAGTTCATTATAATTAATTAAAAAAATATTTAGTTAATTATGTCTGACGTTTAAATTTTATAATTACATTACAAACCCAGTTCTTCAGTTTTATGCGATAATATTGTTTTTGTTTTAGTTTTTTTTATCAAACAACTTAATATACTTAAAATCTACTAAATAATTAAGTTTTATAAATTTTATAAATTTTATTAGTTTAATTATTTTAATTTTTGACATTAAGTAAAAAAAACAAATTTGTTAAATGAATAGAAACTTAAAATAAATAGTTAGGTAAGTTAAAATATGTATATACTATAATACTTTATTCTTATGTTTATTCAGGTATAAAATTTCATGGAATCGTGAGGTATAAATCATATTTAACAAATCTATAAAATGTACTTTCTATAATGTAAACGTTAAAATATTTTTTTTTCAATTTGTTTATAATTTTTCTATACAAAAAAAGTATAAATAAAAAGTATATACTACACGAGTGGTAAAATTGTTTACTAATTAAATGCAAAAAAGAATAATAAAAAAAAAAAATATGAATTAGAACATAAGTTTTTTCATTTGTGTAA